ACAGTAGCTGGGACAACCACGACTTTAATACTATAAGAACTAGCAGTAACCCAGACGACACTCCATCAGTAATGAAAGAAGAAGTCAGAAAAGCGTTGGAGAGCATGCAAAGAGGCAAAGCTGCTGGTGAGGATCAGATAACATCAGATCTGCTAAAAGATGGAGGACAGATTGTGTTAGAAAAACTAGCCACCCTGTTTACGAGGTGTCTCCTGACGGGAAGAGTACCAGAGTCTTGGAAGAACGCTAACATCATCTTAATACATAAGAAAGGAGATGACAAGGACTTGAAGAATTACAGGCCGATTAGCTTGCTCTCTGTAGTATACAAGCTATTTACAAAAGTAATCGGTAACCGAGTAAAGAAAACATTAGAATTCAATCAACTAAAGGAACAAGCAGGATTTCGAACAGGCTACTCAACAATCGACCACATTCCTACTATCAATCAGGTAATAGAGAAATGCTCATAATATAACCAACCACTATACATAGCCTTCGTAGATTACGAGAAAGCGTTTTATTCAGTATAAATGTCAGCCGTCATGCAGGCACTGCGGAATCAGGGCGTCGATGAAGTATATATAAACATTGTGGAAGAAATCTACAGGGGATCAACTGCTACCATAGTGCTTCATAAAGAAAGCACAAGAATACCAATCAAGAAGGGTGTAAGGCAGGGGGACACAATCTCCCCAATGCTATTTACCGCGTGCTTACAGGAGGTTTTCAGAAGCCTAGAATGGGAACAGTTAGGGATAAGAGTTAATGGAGAGTACCTTAGTAACCTGCACTTCGCCGATGACATTGCATTGCTGAGTAACTCAGGGGACGACTTGCAACCCATGATTACGGAGTTAAACAAGGAGAGCAGAAAGGTAGGTCTTAAAATGAGTCTGCAGAAAACGAAAGTAATGTACAACAACTTCGGAAAAGAGCAGCGCTTCGAGATAGGTAATAGTGCACTTCAATTTGTAAAAGACTATGTCTACTTAGGGCAGGTAATAACCACGGAGCCGAACCACGAGATTGAAGTAACTAGAAGAATAAGAATGGGATGGAGTACATTCGGCAAGCACTCTTAAATTATGACAGGTATATTGCCACTATCTTTTAAGAGGAAGGTATATAACAGCTGTATCTTGCTGATGCTTAGCTACGGAGCAGAAACCTGGAGACTTACAAAGAGGGTTCAGCTTAAATTGAGGACGACGCAGCGAGCAATGGAAAGAAAAATGGTAGGTGTAACCTTAAGAGACAAGAAGAGAGCAGAGTGTATTAGGGAACAAATGGGGGTTAAGGATATCATAGCTGAAATCAAGAAGAAGAAATGGACATGGGCCGGGCATGTAGCGCGTAGACAGGATAACCGCTGGTCGTTAAGGGTAACTAACTGGATTCCCAGAGAAGGGAAGTGGGTTAGGGGAAGACAGAAGGTTAGGTGGGAATGAGATTAAGAAGTTTGCGGGTATAAATTGGCAGCAGCAAGCACAGGACCGGGTTAACTGGTGGAACATGGGAGAGGCCTTTGTCCTGCAGTGGGCGTAGTCAGGTTGATGATGATGATGATGATGATGATGATGATGATGATGATGATGATGATGATCAAGTGTTCACCATTTTCCTCTTCCCCTCCACACGCACTGCATACCGTGTCTACCCCTTCGTATTTGCCCCGATATGTCTTGGTTCGCAATATATCTGTCCTGGCCTTAAACAGTAGAGAACTACCCTGAGTATTATCATAGACCCTTTCCTTGGCGATTCCCTGCTTAAAAGTTTGATAGATCTCCAGTGCGGACTTCTTAATCATGCCAATTTCCCACATATCGGTATCAGCTTCCTTCACCTTTTTCTTAATCAATAATTCTTTTTGCTTTGGCCCCCTGCTGTTTTCTAAGTATTTACCAGTAAATATTCTAGTCCGCTTCCTCCATTTTCTATCGACATTTTTCATGTACAAGTAGCTGAATACATTCCTAGCCCAACGATCCTACCCCATTTGCCTCAATCGCTTCTGAAATTTTATCTCGCAGCTAGCTTCAGTGCCCTCAAATGATGTTCATCCCATATCACCTTGTACTCCCTGATTTGGTGTATTTTCGTGGGCTCCTGAGGCAAGCCTACCTATTCCACGTTGCTTAATTTTTAGTCTTGCTTGAATTTCCGATCTCATGCACAAGACCACATTGCCGAACATTAAACCAGGAACCATGACCCCTTCCCATATTCCTCTCACAACATCATACTCATTGTAATTCCACAGTGCCCTGTTTTTCATCACCGCTGCATTCCTGTTCCCTTTAGTCGTCACGTATAATTCGTGTCCCCGTAGGTACTCGGCCTCATTGCTTATCCATACGCCCAGATATTTGTATTTTTCTCTTATCTCTAGCGTGGCCTCCTGTATTCTAAGCGCACTACCTTCATTATCATTAAAAATCATGACTGCTGATTTTTCTCTTAATGAATCTGGAATCTAACCTATCTCCTTCATTACCGCAGATGTCCATCAATCTCTGCGAATCTTCCTTGTTGTCGGCCATTAGCACTATATCATCTGCGTACATCAATGCTGGTAGTGCCTGTTGAATGAGTTTTCCTTGTTTGACGAAAGAGAGGTTGAAGCCCTGTCCACTTTCCTCTAATTTGGGCTCTAATCCTTGTAGGTACATCATGAATAATAAGGGTAACAGAGGACACCCCTGCATTTCTCGCGACAGAAAAACGCCCCGTGCGGTGAACGGTGATATTGGCTGCAGTGCGTACCGAAACAAAACATTATTTTAGGGGCGAAGTTTCTTATAGCGCCACCTGTTCGTCCCTCGTAGTCGTAGTAGTCGTAGTGTGTAACCAGTCTTACATTTTGACCTACAAGTTGGTGCCGGTGGGAGATTTCTTCTGTGCGTTGTTGAACAATAAAAAATTCACAGTGTGTGCGTTAACTAAAAGCCGAATTCTCCTGTCTCATTCTTCCTTAGCAGTCATTAGCATGTATATTGAGCACTATCGGACAAGAAAGGGTGGCTACGTTATATTCGCTGGGCATAACCTCCTTAGTTTTCGAAAGGTTTAGCGAGCGTTATGCCGCAGTGCCATGAATACAGTGAACTAGTATATTCCATGAACTCGAGGTGGTTAAAGGTGGGAAGTATACACGAAGCGCAAGCGGTAAGAAAGTGTGCGTGTGCCACTTCTTATTTAGTCCATGGAATGTCCGCTGGGTGGCGGTGCATATGCGAAATATATGATGAAAAGATGCGAGATGGTGTTACTTGGAGTGTTCAATAGATGGACAAACGGACACACAGACAGATGCATGAATGGACTCACGGATGGCTGCACCGACAGATGGACGCATGGACGGACGCAAGGGCGGATACATGGACGAACGCAAGGACGGACGCACAGATAGACGTGCGGACGCACGAACAGACGCACGCACAGACGTGTGAATGGACGCATGGCCGGTCACACAGACGGATGCATGGACGGACGGATGCTTCGCCCCACTCTACATCATTCACTCCGTGGATATGCTGTCATTTTTTATTCTAACGCTTCGTTCTCCCGTAAGAAACGCCGTTATGGACCCTACGCAATGCATTCGCATTTTCTCACGATTCCCTTCATAAAGGTGGGGGCATTTGTGTGTGTGTGTGTGTGTGTGTGTGTGTGTGTGTGTGTGTGTGTGTGTGTGTGTGTGTGTGTGTGTGTGTGTGTGTGTGCGTGCGTGCGTGCGTGCGTGCGTGCGTGCGTGCGTGCTAGGTCTAAGCTTACATCATCTCCACAACCCCATAAAAAATGGGGCGACGACCACGGCTGTTGCTTTGTTTTGATTACACCGAATGCGTTATTCGAAATCGCAAGTTTTGATTCTGCCACCGGGCAGTTACCTTTCACCCACTTTCACGAGCTCATTTCAAAGAAATTCCAGCGTCGGCGTCGTTGGTTATGCGCGAAAAATTATTATTTTTGCGGTACCATAGTTTTGGGCATCGTTTTGTGACAAAAACATGAAGAAGGTCGCAAATAAAATGATTAAGAAAAAATTTTGGACCTCCGTGGGAGTTCAACCCCGATAATTGGCATGCCAATCGGGTGTTCGACAAAACAGCCACGCCTCTGCTTCATGATACAGTGAAAATAACGTCCTCTGCTCTAAAATGCAGTGAAACTTTCTTGCTTTACAAATACACAAGTTCTGTATGCATACTTCACAATACAACACGAAATATTGACGTAATAATGCACTGTGAAAACGTAAATTGCCATCGGTCGTCAGAACAGGGGATCATCACAAGGACTTCAGGCTTGTCGCTCACTACAAAAAGTACACACGCAACTGCACTCTTGAGGCCACGTAGCGGGTGCATGGGAAGTTCGAAAAGTGCCTGAAGTATGCATTGGGAATAGAATATCGCTATCCCGTTCAACTCTTCAAGACGAAGCTTAAGGTTCCCCAATTTCTTTTTCTTTCTTCACATGTACTCTGCAATTACTAATGACATCCTGTAAACTTTCTTTAGCATCGCTGTCTGTTAGGTCTAAATATTGTTGGATAAAGCTTGCACTATTTTCAAACACTATGACCAGAGATATGGAGAAATCGTTAAAACTTTTTTGTCCCACAGCCCAAAGGTGAGCGTGGAAGTCATTGTTCAATCGCCTTGTTGGACAAAAAGCTAGTGCCACTGCTGTCCACATTTTTGTGACTGTTACGCCAATTCTGATGTCGTGCTGTGTGCGTTCAGAATGTACAAAAAAAGATGTTCTATTGAGATAAAAAGTCAGGGTTCTTGGGAAATTGAACTTTTGTTGGAAGGTGTCTGTACCTCAGCTTATTCCTTGTGTTTGTCGTGCTTCATTCGCATGAATCTACAAGTGGGCCACAGCATTGTAGAGCTGCAATATTACGCATATGTCTCAATGAGAATGAAATTTGCGCGATTGATAGGTTCTTCGCTGGCATAATTCGGTTGACTTGCCACAATTCGCAGCAACGGAGCCACTGCGTCGGGCCTTTTCTGCGCAGCGTCCTTCTTGGCGGACCAGCTCAAGGCCGAGCGCCACGCCGACGTCCTCATGGCGGCCCGCACAGTCCGGCAGCACAGGCCCACATTCCTGCCTTGCCTGGTACGCTTTGCCTGGTGAACACTGGCAAAGGGTTTTCACCTATAGAGCTTTCTATAGATTCACTAGAGGACTCTGGCGCTAGTGCCTGTGGGAGTGTAATGGCGCTTTCACCAGCTTTGGATTCATGGATAATACACCTATTTCCCTATTGTTTGAGCTGGCGGCTTTCAGTGCGCTCGTGTTTCGTTTAATCTTGTGTTTGGGCGTTTGTCCCACATGAAAAAAAAATGCATTGTTGTGAAATTTTTTAGCCGACTTGAACTGGTAAGCCTACGAAATTCCGCAGACCCTATATACGTTTGGAATCATTGTTATGTGAAGCACGCGGACCGACGCTGACTGTGTTATTATTTTCTATTGAGCTAAACGTTACAAAATGATTCTAAAGAACTTGCTGGCACAAGGCTGGGGCATCGTGTTTGTACACCATGTGTGACTCAGTCGACGTATGTGCATGGCACGGAAGTTGTTTAAAGAGGGGTCGCTGGCGTGCAATAGGCTTTCCGAAAAGGTATTTCATTTTTTTCTTTACCTACATCCAAACTTGTAATCCCCTCTTTCTGCGCGTCGAAATGCACCTTGGTCGTACCCCTTAGGCATTGTAGTTAACTTTTGTGATCATCAAAGCGTGATCCCACTGATTGGTCTTGCTGGTGCGCTCGTACTCAGCCAGCCACTTGTCCATGTGCACGTTATCATGCCAGGGTCTCGGAGCTAGGTCACAACAACGCGTCTGGGTGCGTAAGTTGTCAGGACTATCTGTCGGCATGATAAACTGCCCGAGAAGACGACCGCTTCTAAGTTACATCACGTCCATCAAAGATGTTACGGAGAAACGACAAAATACAGAGGGACGACAATACACAATCACAGTAGTCGGCCAAAAAAATAACCTATTCAGATGTGAATAATTATGAAGGATCTTCCTCCGGAGGTTAAATCCGGTGAACCGTGAATTCTCCGTCATCCGTTCTGTCATCACAACGACGCGAAAAGGGAAGCGCGGTGTGTGTAAGGTATATGTATACGCAACGTATATTTATTTCCATAATTATTCAGTCTGTACAAAACTTAAATATTGATGTAAATATTTCTATGTTATTTTATGGACAATAACAGTCCCCCTGACTGTTGTTATTTGTAGAGCAAAGATTATGAAACAGAATCTCTATCGCTGACTCCGAAAGATAACGACTTACGCGTATTTTGTGATAGCTATGAAGTGACCGCAGTAGTGAATACGGGCGCATATTTGTAAGTAATCCGCAGCGAGCTTGCCAGAACACTGAAGAAGGTACTGACTCCTTCACATAGACCTCAAGTTCGCACCACAGGGGACACCTCATCAAACCAATTGGAACGTGCACGGAATGATTAGATAAGGGGTTTCACATACGTCACCAGTTTAATTGTGCTGTCGGAATGTTCTATAGAAGCAATTATCAGCATGTACTTCGTGAAGGCTAATCGTGCTGTTATTACTTGCCAGAATCGTGCAAGGTATTTTCAACCAAGAATGCGATTACAACGTTTGACACAGAAGAAAAAGTCAATGATCTGTGTATTGCGGATGACGACGTGGTGGTAATCCGAGGTCCAGCATAGCTGTCAGGGTGAGAAGCAATGCGTTTAGTGATCATAAAGGGCTCGCCGACAGCAATACTGCGCTCATACACGAAAAGGGAATCGGTATGGCAAGAGGCCTTGTGCGGCTTCTTGATGAATGTGCTAACGTCTTGCTGACAAATTTCGTGAAGTACAGCACATTGCGAAGGGGACCGCGATTGCAAGTATCCGTGACCTCGTCTAAGTTGCGAACCTGAGTGCCTCTGAGACGTCACCACCTGATTTTCAAGACTTGGATTTTGTACTGGCATCTATGGACATAGACCAGTGACTGTTGTCAAACCAGAAGATACAAATGCAGAACCTCGTATGAGAATACGCCGTGCACTTTTCAGCGTAATTTAAAGTCTGACAAACACCGCATCATTGTCGATGAATCAGTCAGACCCATCTGGCAGCACCCCTACAGGGTGTCACTAAACGAAAGGGAACCTGCCTAAAAAGAGGTTCAGAAAACGCTCAAAGACGATGTGATTCAGTCGTCGGCGAGTCCATTGGCGTCACCGATGGTATACTCGTAAAGAAGATAGACCACTTCTTACGGTTCTGTTTGGAATACCTAAGGCTGAACTCCGTCACTCATTGAGATGTTTATACCCTTCCCACGATTGACGACCCTCTTGATAGACCACGAGATGCGAAGTTTTTTTTCTTCCCCAGGCCTAAAACGTGGGTACCGGCAAATAGAAGTGGACAAACGAGATTGTAAGAAAACTGCATTTGTGACATCAAATGGGCTATACGAATTTAAGGTATTTCCATTCGGCCTTTGTTTCGCTCAAACAATGTTTCATCGCAAGATAGACAGTGTGCTCTCCGTACGGAAGTGGTAGTCTTGTCTAGTTTATTTTCACAATGTTGTGGTTTTCTCAACTGCCGTCGTGAAGCATGTCCAATGACTGCGACCTGTACTAGAAGCTCTCAGTTTGGCGAACCTCACAATAAAGCCACAGAAGTCCCACTTCGCCTTTCAGAAGCTTTCTTTTCTTGGGCATGTTGTCACTGGGGAAGGTATTTGCCCGGTCCCTAAAAACACCTCGGCAGTACAAAATTTTCCAAAACCAACGGACAAAAAAGTGTCCAGACGATTCTTGGTATTTCAAACCTATTTCCAGCGTTTTGTCAAACATTTTTGAAAATCGCCCAACCTCTAACGCGGCTGACAAAGTTGGATGCACCTTTCATTTGGCTGAAGGAACAGAACGATGTCTTCAATGAGCTCTGACAGTGCTTTCGGAGCCGCTCAGCTCTCGCACGTTTTGACCAGGAAGCCAAGACTGATAGTCACACTGGCGCAAGTGACTTGGGACTCAGGGCCGTTCTTGTTCAGTGGCAGGATGGTGTAGAGCGGGTCACTGCGTATGCTAGTCATACACTTTCAAAGGTTGACATCAATTTCTCGACGACAGAAAAAGAATGCCTTGAGGTTGTGAGAGCAATAAGCAAGTTTTGTCCATACTTATATAGAAGACCTTTCCGAGCCAATAGCAACCACCATTCACTATGCAGGCTGGCAAATCCTAAAGAACCCCCAGGACATCTTGCGAGATAAAGTCTATGACTCCAGGAACACGACATAACGGTCGTCTATAATCCCGGTCGCAAGCATCGTGGTGCTGACTGTCACGTGCACCGGTTGATTCTGCAGAATCCACATCTAGGAAAAGCGGACAGTATGTTCCTTTTATTGCGATAGCAATTGTATGAACACTCTCGGCTAGATTTTGCCGCCAGCGTCACTGTCGATGTCATGCCCCGTATATGTAAGCGCATCTATATAAACGAAAACGCAAGGAAGACAAAAATCCGGAAAACAAAGACGCGCGCGGAATCAAACGTGGCACCTCTGCGCCGTGAATGCGAGGCCTTAACCACCGAGCCACCGAAAGTACCTCCTTCAACGTTTAAACGACAAGCATATCTACCACTTACCACTGTTGGTGGACATCTTGAGGGGAAGGGGGGCACTATCGTGTTTTCAGCATTATCAGCAAGATGGCTAAACGAGCACGCCGCTGCTCTCGTCTCTCAAGCGTACTGTGACCCCTGGAAAGGAGGGGAGTGACGATCTCTCGAGCGCCCTTACCTCCTGGTGGGGAGGATCATATGCCTTGGCTCGTGTTAGTCTTGCACTGGAATTCACAATTTTGTCGTTGTTACGGGGCGCATAAGGGCCTATGCAATCGTTACACAGCCACTGTTTGCGAAAAGAACATGTTTTTCAGATACAGCGAAGTAACAACTGAGGTGCTTATTTGTGTTCATCTGTACCTTTGCGTAAGTTTCTTGCGTCATATGTGCTTGAGAATTTCAATCTGCTTGCCATTCAGCGCGTGACCTTCACGAGCGTTTGTGCTTAGATGACACATCTAAGCACACAAGCCTCAAGCATTCTCGATTTTAGTGAATATAAGGTGTTCTAACCGTTAAAAGTTTATTTTACTAGCGTTGCGCGTGTGTTCACTGCCCATTGCATTAGTGCGGATAAAGCAAGGATGTCCCCACACACTTCTCTACTACTCGCTTCGGTTCCTACCTGTGGAAGAGGTAATCAGCACAAGAAAGTGGCCAGAGAACGCTAATTTACAATGCATTGAGTATGCGGGAAAGCGCGTTTAAAGAGTGGGGTGACGATAGTTACACCGTGAGAACAAAACGACGACACAGAGACAAAAAGGACACGAAAGACACGAGCGCTATTACGTGGGTCTTTCGTTTCCTTCTTGTCTCTGTGTCGTCGTTTTGTTCTCGCGCTATAACTATCGTCATGCCATACCAACTAGCCCAAGCTGCCACACTTCTATGAAGAAAGGGCTCACGAGGCCCTCATGCGGAGCGTGCCATCGTGACTGTATAGAAACAGCTTCATTGTACTCGTGGTGGCAGCTTATGCAGTAAAAGGAGGGTGCTAGCGTGCGCATCTAAACCGGCCGTGCATGCCACTGGCACGGCGTAGCCACCTAGATTTACTGTATATGCTACCTTTATATGCAGAGTTGCGCATAACTTTTCTTTCCGCCGCTCACGCTGCCATTCGGGGAGTGCTATCACGTGGTACGAAGAGACGTCAAATGTTCCATTTCACGAGGCAAATCCAACTTTATGTTCATGATGGCGCGTTGCAAGTGCATTTCCTGCGCGCGCCGACTTCAGTCTCATGATGACACCCTTTAGGGGCTTTTAGCTTGTATATATACTTATTTCCATTACCTTGTTACCGGATACAAAGTGCGCATGCGCGGGTGTTTACAGAGCGTAATCCTTTACGTAATGTAAACTACTCGCCCGATAAGCTACTCGCCCGATCTCGCAAGTCCACCTTCGTTCGTAGGAACTTGCGATGGTCGCATTGCGGAGACTCCAGACATCGAGTC